ATTGACGACCAAATCAGTGCCAGCGTGGTATGTAATTCTTCTCCCCATTTGAACTGTTTTTAATCCTTTTTGCAACCTTTTTTCTTTGCCAAGAATTGATTTTCTTGTAGAAATCTAAATCAACCAGACTCCAATGTTTTTATTTCTACCTTCATCGAAACAGCCTGTCTACAATATAGTTAGGCTGTGTTCATTAAATATTTACTCTTCTGTCTGCATTTTGTTTTTGTGCAATTGATTTAACTGTTTTTGTTTGTTTTTTGTACATTAAGAAACTTTTTTGATAATGATGACAAACTAAATTCATGAAAGAAATGCTCCGCCTTTTTTTTTTAATATACTAACATTCTACCAATGCATGAAAACCAAGAGCCACTCAAGGTAGTGTTGTTGTGTTGTATGAGTCTAAGAAAAGGCATGAAATGAAGACTTGAAGTGGTCAAGATTGTAGTGATTGGGAAAACATCCTGCCAGGAGTCTCTGTTCCACAAAGCATCAGTTCTTGGGAAGAATCTGTCCAAATGGAACTTATTTCTTACAAATGGAATATAAATGGAATTGGGATGATTCATCTTTGTGTATGTGGTATGTGGGGTGGGGGTGGGGGTCTCAGTTGTAAAAGTCAGGGTGGTGTGACCAAGGAATGTACTTCACAAGAAAACTTATTTTTATTCCATGAATTAAGTTTTCTAGACCTTGTCTAAATGATTTTTAGAACACCCAAAACCAAATAACATATATCTTAAACATCATCACTGATGTTTGTTTAACTTTTTCTTGGATTGATAAAAAATATTTATAATGCAACTTACACTTAACTTCAATAGCTTTTAAGTAAAGCTGATATAATCAGTGCAGTTGAAATGTTGAAAAAAATCTTGCCTGTATGCATGATGCCATTATTAACTATTATTTTTAGCAAATGCATTCTTTAGCTTTGTATGTTACAGTCTTCAGAAGTTAAAAATGTTCTTCTTTTCAATAAGTTTTTGTAGAAGAGATAGAAAATAAACTTTTCTTATTCGGAAGATTAAAATCTAAGCTACTGGATGCAACATAGAAGTCCTGAAAGTATTAGACTGAAGGGAGCCCATCCATCAATGTAAGCCTGAAGGACACCCCCTCAAAAAAAAAGAAAACATAAGACTGAAGGAAGCCTCCCCCTCCCCGCCCAAAGTGTAAGACTGAAGGACTGCCACCACCAGAAAACATGACTGATTGAAGGCTCTCAGAAAGCTTAAGATTGATGGAAAGCCCCCAAAAGCATGTTGTTTGAAATGTTGTTAACAAGAATAAAGATAGAAAGGCTACATTGAAAAATGTTTGGAAGAATGAAAATGCCTCTTAGAACTTCAGAAAATATTAACTAAGTCTGGTAGTTTTTAGGAACATTGTCTTTTATCCTTGATGTAATTATGACATTATCATGTCATAATAATATTGAAAAGGGTAGGATTGAATATGTTGAGCTAAAACAAGTTGCTTGCTACATGGAGAATGTAAGCCAACTCAAAGGAAAAGGGACTTTCACCTATGCAGAATATAATTCAGCCTTTTATATGATGTAACCTCAGTACTTAGCTGTTACAAGTATTTCCAAGATTATATACCTTCCTGGAGCTAAGACACAAGCTTAAACATACTCTGTTTACTAGCAGTGTTGGGAGTGTTTCTACTCTTGACTAGTATGTCATTGCCATACAAACAAAATCAGACAAGGGATTAATGTAAACAATATATGTGAGGGATGCATGGTGAATGTGTTTTTCTATGAGAACAAATTTTCTTTTCTTAGAAATTTTTCTCCAATAAGCTGCAGCATCTTGTAAACCAGAAAATACAGTAATTAAAAATCATCTGAAGAAGGGGAATCAGTTTAGAAATTCATTGTCAATTCTGAAAGCTTCTATAAAAGGGTGTGACTATTATCACCACATAGTAATATTACAGTTGATGTTATGATCACCATGCAGACATAGGTTAAGTGTTCTGATGGTAGTGATTGTGGATTGGGAGGGAGGGATATCAGCTTTGTTTATCGCTGGAAGTAGTTAGAGGGAGCTGGTGTGAGGGTAATGAGGAAAAAGTACAGTGAGAAGAATTTTGGGAGCTTTGTTTATCATTGAAACGGTCAGTAAAGTAGTTACAGAATTACTGTGGAAAGGAGGGGGGGAGGGTTAAACAGTCCCCCCCTCCAGTCCTCCTGTCACCACTATAGAATAAGTTCCAGATTATCCTTTTCTTAGCAGCCAAGGTAACATTGAAGAACACACTTATGTAGAAGTTCACTATACAGTGATAATAGCCTTTTATAAAATACATTTTAATTTGAATAAAATGTATTTTTTGAAATACCTTTTTAATTTTCTATAGTGGTAATTGATAAGTAACCATTTTAGATTCTCAAAATACCAAAATAATATAACTGAATGGAGATCCACTGTTCTTTTCAGTGTACAGTGACTGAGATCAGTAATATCACTGTATGATAATACACACAGCCTATATAAGATTGGAAATGATTTTTGTAAATAGCTAAGAGTTAACAGTCTATGGAAAAGCACTCTAGAACTGTACATAAATTTTAGATGATTATTTTTGCATTCACCTTTTGGAAGAAACCAAAAGTTATGTTGACAAGTACAAAAAGATATTAAGATATTCTTTAAAAAAGTGCCATACTTTAATAAGACATGTATAACTGCATATTTTCATATTAATAAATAAATGTATTTCTAGATTTGGTTTTAGAAGAAAAGCAGCCACACTGAAAACCAAAGGATTTGGAATTTTGTTGAAAATTCTCTTCAGAAAAAACTAAATTAAAAATAATTAAACTGATGAAAAGTGTCTATTTCTGTCAGTGTGGTGGTATTTCAAACACTTCTAAACCATTCCTTTCACTGTATAATCCCTTGGTTGATTTTTTAATTTGTAATTTTATTGATTCTACAACTTTATATTCTATAACTACATTCTATTGTAGGATTTCCTTTGGCATCCTATGGTCAATACCTCAATGTATTATGTGTACAAATCTTGGTTGATGAGTGGCCCTACTGCTCGGCCAAACTTGATCGTCACTGGAAGTGGTACGGTAAGTAATTTTTACAATCTGTAAAATCAGAAAACTTGAAGCAATCTTCTGGGTTTAATATTTTTATTCTATTCTTATATTTGAATTTTATAAGAAGAAACTGATTGTGTCAAGCATAAAATATACAGTGCTCAAAATGTTGTAAGAGTCGTTCCAACCAGGTATGCTGCAAAATGAATTTATTCTTTGAATACCAACATGGTTGCATTTGACAAAGTGTATCATCAGAGCTATAATAGTGATTGCTTTTAAATTATTAATACAAACCCTAATAATTTTTTTATTTGTATGATTAATTGGGGGTGATGCACAATAGATGCTGTAACCAGAAATAATCCTTTTTCTTTTTTTTTTCTTTTTTCATGGTTTTTTTCTCGTACTACTATATATTAAGCATTCCAGGCCATGAATGCCCCCCGCTGATTTTTTTCTTGTTTTTATTAATTATTATAAAAGTTAATAGTTTATGTAAATTCATTCCCTTAAATAAACCAAAACACAAGATACTCATACCATGGGATCTATTAAAAAAAAAAAAAAAAAAAACGGTTTTTAAATTCATAATTATTTTTTAAAGCTTTTTTTTTTTTTTTTATCATGTGCTACAATAGATTAAGTAGTCTAGATCAGTGGTCACCAACCTTTTGAACTTCATGGACCACTAAATGTATAATTTTAAGTTTGGTAGACCACTAATATGAATTTAGAAAAACAAAAAAGGTAAATACATTTATATAATAATAATAATAATAATCAGGAAACTTATTTTATTAATATGAAATGCACTCATTAAAGATAACAAAGTTAGAGTGGAATTATTTAAATAAAACAAATTGAAAATTTGAAGTTTCATAAAATTTGAAACAACGTCCCAATTTTTCTGCAGACCATTAAAAATTTTGCATGGACCACCAGTTGTCCATGGCCCACCAGTTAGCTACCACTGGTCTAGATCAGGGGTCACCAACCTACTGTATGCATACCACATATGTGCCATATCAAGCAATTTCCAATGGCACGCAGCCACAAATGACATCCGAACCAATAACTACTACAATGCAAAGAAGATATTTAGCTATTCCAATTTTAATATATACTAAAGTATATATACTATATATTACTATATAAAATATATTGTAGAACAAATATATTGATGTTGACTTGTATAAATATATGTATGCTGTTAGCACACTGAATGATTTTAAAACCCTAAGTCGGCACATAGCAAAAGGTTGCCAACCCCTGGTCTAGATTACAATATTTAAAAAAAAAAAAAAAAAATGTATTTTGGGAAATCACATATGTGCATTTTTTTTTTTTTTTTTTTTTTGAGGATCAATTTACATTGAATTTATATAGTAAACTGGATCCCCCTGTTAACTTTTAAGAATTCATATTTGTGGTTTGGAATGCTTAAATATGTTAATTTAAAAAAAAAAAAATTATTATTTCTGGTTGCAGTGCCTATTATACAAACTCCTCCGATTAATCACATTTTATCTGGTTATTTACTTTAAGACTTTGTTTCTTTATAATAAAATAATGTCTGCTCATGATATTTTCTTTCTTTTCTTTAGTGGAGTATAAAACTTAACAATGCCAGTGAACAGGCTTTAAAAAACTTTGAAGGTATACATACATTTTTAATTATTTTATTCATTGATTGTAAATAATTATGCCTCCTTTTTTTTCCATGAAAAGAATAAAAATAGTAGAGGAATATTAATGCGTGTCCAATATACTGGTTTTATTGGAACAATGGTGAGGACTTGAACTACAGTCAGGGAATCATTGAATTCTAGTAAAAAATCAATTGAAAAATGGCTTTCCAAATTAATCGCAACAGATTTGGTTCTTTACAATTTGCATATATATATTGCCTTTAGGCAAGATATGCATAATTCACTAATATCTGTTATTTGAGGTTTCATCTTTTAAGCCTTAACATTGCACTAAAAGATAGAGGGTGAAAGGGCATACCTTGGCACTTGTGGCAATATGCTGATGGGACTAAACAATTTTTGTTTCCAACTCATTTGTGTAGGTTCCAACATTTCAGAAATAATCTTTATGCTACATTTTATATGTCAAAGGACTCATATAAATTTGCAAGTCATTCATCTTAGAATATTAATATATGAATATTGTATATAAGTATATGATTGTTATTTGTGGTGTTAGGGGAGAAACAAATTCTATAAATGCTTTTTGTAATTTTCCCCTTAACATAAAATACACTCTAAGAGCAGAATACTTGAGCAAGTTAGTCATCAAGCTAGAGTTGTATCATAGTCATAGTTGGTCAATATTGACACACTGACATTTGCTAAGCTTGAAACTTGATTAAAAATCCATTTCTGTAACAAAGCTCTGAACCTTTTAAATAAATAGAAAGAATACATTAATTAGAAAAACAGTTAACAAATTCACTTGTGTACTGAGAAGAATTTACCTTATGCATATTAAAGTTTATATGACTTTGTGTTGAGTGAAGTTTTAATACCAAAAGTGACTATGAAAATTTTAGTAAGCTAGTTAAAATTGATCTGTGTTTGTAAAATTCCAATGCTAACACTCTTCAACAAAAAAAACCTCTTTTCTTTTCTTTAGTCAACCTTACCATGATTGTGCCCTTCTTGAACAAACTGAAAAATACCGCCTCAATACTTTGGATGCTACAAGGTAAGAATTGTCACATTAATAAATTCATTAAATTTTCAATGGAAAAAAATTTATCAAGCAAATTATTTTTATTCATTTTAATTGAGCTGTTATATAAAATAAAACTTTCGTTGTAGATTTTTCTTTTTAATTTCTGTCTTGTCCTCATCTTTATTGTCATATTCACAACGTTTCAGTCGTTGTATGCTCCAGCCTTCTTTAGGTGATATACGTTGGAATTTTGAACCGAACCCTTTATCTCGTCCACCAGGGTAGATTCTTCTAGTTTCTAGTTTCTGTATATTTCAGTTTCACTTATTTCCCTTCAAGTTTTGTTCACCTCTGCTGTGGCCAGGAATTGAACTCATAACTCTTTGGGTCAAGTCACTGGATTATTTCAACCAACTTGGCCATGTGTCCTTGGGGACAAAATAAAGGGTTTGGTTCAAAATTCCAACCTGAAGAACACTGGCACATACAGTGGCCAAAACATTGAGAATATGACAATAAAGATGATAACAATGGTCTGACCAATGTAAATAGTTTTCTTTTTGAATATTTAAGAAAAATTTCAAATATTTTTCTGGAAAAAAACAAAAACAAATTCTGAAAACAGAGACTCAATTTAAAAATATATTGTTATTTTGTTATATTTTTCCTACCCCTGTTCCATAATAATTGTTACATTTAGAATGAGAAATGTGTATACAAATGTAACAACAATTATGGGACACTGGTTGTAAGTTTTTAAAGTTAGAAAAAATATAGTAATTCCTCTATTGGTCAACTCTAAAAAAAAAATAAATTATTATGTCGAGAGTTGAATAAGTTCTTTTCAGGGTGAAGATAGAATTTGAATGTAGATTCGGCAGTATATAAAGTTCTGCTCAAATGTGCTTCATATCATTTTGCATTGAATAATAAAGTTTATCCTGTATACATCTGATTATCTACACTATTTACATGTGGACTATTGTCCTCACCTTTGTTGTTGTTGTTATCACAACGTTTCAGCCATTGTATCTACTTCCTACATCAGGTGTATGTTGATCCAGGTAACCTACAAGGAACTGAACTGAATCCCCTGTAGGTTACCCAGATTGTCACACACCTGATGTAGGCCAGGGAGCACAATGACTGAAAATTTGGAGCTTGGTTCCATTCTCAAGCGATTTGCTTGAGAATGGAACCAAACTCCAAATTTTAAGTTTAAACTTTAAAGTTAAAATTTAATATTTGAGCTTCACTTTCAAAACATAGTAATTTCTGTGTTGTGATAGAGATATTTTTTTTTTACAAATAATTATAATGTTATGCTCTACTTTGTATCAAGGACTGTTTTTAAAAAATAAAAATAATTGCTAAAGAACTCTGAATTATAAATCTGACTGATCTTTCCTATTATTTGAATGAATACATGTATATATGTATATCCAAGATGGGCGCAAGCAAGTTAGAGAGTGGCTCCATCTGAGGAGGGGTCTCATAATTTCATTAGCCTAGGGGCCCCAAAAGGTCATAACCCAGCCCATGTCCTGTGTCTTACACTGATTATACAAGTGTTTTTTATCTTAAGGTTTTGAGAAAGGCTAAAATATGGTCAGCTTCATGAAAAGTTTTTTTTTAATTAGTCTAGGAAAATTTTTAATTTATTTTTGCTGAAAACAGATGAAATATGAAAATATATTTTAATTATGAAATGTTTTTATTCTAAAAATGATCCCATTTGGTAGATTTTATTTTTTTAACACCTCTAGCTAAAATGGCTGCCAAATCCACAATCTTTCCATTGGATATGCTTATTCACATTGTGTATGATTAAGATTTTTATTATAAGAACAACTTTAACACAATTTGAAATTCTCTTTTGTCTGCAGATCCAGTAAATGAGGAAAAATTATCAATCAACCGTTCCATGATCACTAACCAACAGATTGATGACTATAATAAAGTGGCCATTCAAATCTTGTAAGTATTTATTTACCTTGAGCTTCTTGATAAAATCTAAAAAAAGAATTAGCAAATTAGCAATATTATTGGTCCTGATCTAGCAGCTTGGCTTCAGTCACTTTCCCACCACCATAAGGTTGCTTAACTGTGCTTTTTCTATAAATATTTTCATGGTAATTGTTCAGGTAGGTCCTTTGCTTTGGTACCTAGATTTTCTAAATTTAAGCACAGTACTAGAATTGTAATGTAATACAAAATTTAAATGCAATATCAATTGCTATCTACTGTCATTCTAAAGTACTATTTTCTTTTCCTGCTCATTATTAATGTTTCTGTTCCTAATTCTTCCACATCCAGCACCCCCTTCTGTCCTAGTGGCTTTTACTGCCTTGCATGGGGTGAAACTGATAAAAAGTATCATTCAGTCAATTTTGTGCCAATGAAAAAAAATTTTTCTATCTGCAAATTTCATTGGTTATTCGGGTCCTATGATCTTGGAGAGTGCCACACCAGGGTCCTTTATAGCACCTATTAGGCAATAGGAAATTATTTGGCAGCATCCATCTTTTCTCCAAATAATATCACAGGTAGCACTGAGTTAGATGGTACCACTAGCAAGAGAAAAAAAAATTGTTTAATCGGTTGGAAATGTGAAGTGGCTTAATGATTAGTTGCTTGGAAAACAAAGTGTAAACAAATTTTCTGGTTCAAACTCTGTTTAATTCATATTAATGTGTATTAATGAGGCAACACTCCAAATAGGGTGTGTTCAAAGTGAATTCTTTTCCCCTGGGTATGGGTAGTGCTTACCCCTAGAGTGGGTGATTTCTCTTGATGAACTGGCTATTTGCAAAAACCTTGACCAATTAGCACAGGTGGTTGTACCAACTAATTAGTATGTTTTTGATATGTAGAACAATTATAAGAATCTAACAGTGAATGTAGGTGGGTCTTGCCATGTGTGTAGAAATAGTGAGAGGCCCTTTAAGTGGTGTGTGTCAAACTTTGTTTGGGGCGTAAACTTTTGTAGGTTTGAAGAACCCAGTCAATGTGGACAATTACATCAACATCATAAAGCCGATGAGGAAGGCATAAATCCCCCTTTTTCTTTTTCTCTGTCTCATTATCAGATGATTGATAAAAAAGAGAGCAAACATGGACCTTTGTGCCTGCAAAAAAAAATGGTGTCAAAAGGACAGTTTTTCCTATGACACTGCTATTATTTCATTGCCGAGGTCTGAATGTACACACCTCGGCAATGTTTATTGTCTTAAGAAGCGATGATTAGGATTGTAATAAAACTTAAACATATAATGAAAGTGAATTAATACTTTGAGAATATACAGCAAAAATATTAAACATAATTTATTTATTAGATTGTTTATTTACAAGAATAATTTTATATTTACAACTTTCTAAAAACTAATACAATTGTATTAAGACTAATGCAATATTTATCATTTACCAATTTATAAAGAAATAAATCTGAAAACAATTTTTTATTCATAAATTTATAAACAGTTACTAGATTATTAAAATATGTAAACCAAATCTAAGGAAATCTTTATTATTTACCATTTTATATAGGTTGAATTAACCAGCAATTACGGTTTGAATTGTTTTTCTTTCAATATGCAATTTTTATTTTTGACTTGTTTTTTTTTCTTTTTTTAACATTTTCTTTTCTTTTTTGTTGCTAGGGACAACAGTGCAGCTAACATCTGGAGCTCCTCTCGGCTGGTTGGGCAGGGGCTAAAAAAGGAATCTCTGGATGGACTGCACATTCCTCGATCAGCTCTGGAATTGGTTAGTCTTTACTATTTATATCCTCAGTAGAAGACAGATCTCAAAGACATTCATAAAGTATTTATGCCATAATCTCTTTTCACAGAAATAATACTCTTCCTTTATATTTATCAACATTAGATCTTCATCAGAAGCCTTTCATATCTTTACTGACTTGTAAAAGCATGCAATGTTCCCACATGATTTGCATATAAATATTATGATTGTTGACCTTTTGAATTTGTATACATCTGATGTAATTTTGATAGGAGATTTCAGGTAGCATATTCGCATTATAAAAAATACAATGCTATCTTCAAATAAATTTTGAAAATTTACCCTGCATCTTTGAGGGAGAATATTACATTAGCCTACATCTAATTAATGTAAAAGTATATTGAATACTTTTATCCTCCCATCCTGGGTATGATGATAAACTACATCCGACAGCAAGGCCTCTGATCAGGAGTTTTTGAGGAGTGTGCAATGACCTCTTAATTGCTGGTGTTCCCAGGTCCACCCTGACCTGGAGTGGTAGCACCTATCAGGGTCCCAGCTATGGACAAATAGTTAACCCCCATCAAAAAGGGCCAAAGCACTATGAAAATATAAAAATAGGTTTTAATATCAACAGTAATTTTTTGGAAAAATTATTACCAACAATACATTATTACATGCTATAGATTTCAAAAAAAAAAAAAAAAAAAAAAAAATATTACCAGAAGTACATTTTTAAAAAAGAAAAAAAAATTACCAGCAATACATTTTTGAAAAAAAAAAAAAATATTACCAGCAATACATTTTTGGAGAAACAAATATTACCAACAATAAAAAATCTTGTCAGCATTAAATAACCTATTGAGGTTGATATACCTTAAAGCAACCCAAACCAAACCAAACCAAACCAAACTTTTAACCTCCATATTTAACTGGAAAAATTAAGAGCCATATCATAGAAACTGAAAAATATGGGATCTGTATTCAAATTTTCAGGTTTTTGTACTTAATTTTTCACACTGAATTTCTATTTTGGAATTGTTTCTGGCTTGACCATTTTTCTTCTTTCTCTTCACACCATCTATACTTTCTAAATTTAAATTGCTTCTAATATACCACAGTATGAATTTTCTTTTTCTAATTGAAAGTTTTGTTTCTTGTAAAGTAGCCAAGTGTACACTTGATGATCAACAGTTGATCAACATTTTTCACAAGAGTCTAAAACCAAGAATTTAATGTAAGGGTTTAATGTGATCCTTGACAGCCAGTATTTTGTCCTTAGTTTATCTGACCAAAGTTTATTTCTTTCCAAATCAGAAACTGTAAGTCTTAAACAGCAGATTACTCAATGTCTGATTTTTATTGATCCAATTATTGGCTCATTCCGTGTCAAATCAACAAATTTTGGGAGGGGCAAATACCATGTCCGACACGGATTTTTTTCAAATTTGCTACACTTATAGATCTCCATGAAAGGAATTGAATGGCACCTGTTACACATCTCAAGGTCAAGGGATTCCTGAGATATGACCTCTGACCTTTTTACGAAAATGTGAATAGTGACCAACTTTAAAAGATGATATCTCAGTTGTTTATGGACCTACAAAGTTCATTCATATATCATTCTAAAGTACTTGGATGGATCTACAATTTTATCTGGGGATTTTTTTTTTTTAGGGGTCAAATAAAAAAGTTGATCTTGACCTTGTCCTTTGACCTGACTTATCTCAAAAAACGTTATTTTAATATTTTTTTTAATTTTGACAAAAGATTTGTCTATCTTATGACAGTATATATTCCAAATTTCATGATGGGCATTCCACTAGAACTGTTGTTACAAGCGTTTTATAGGACTGGGCAAAATTCAAAATGGCGGAATGTAGTATCTGCTACTGCATATAAAAGCATTTTGATATTTCACAATATGGTCAAGTTGTATATCTTTGTAAAGCTATTTTAATGCTGATTAATATTCACATAAGGACCATGGTCATGAAATTAATAAAAGTTTTTTTTCTGGTGATGAAACTGAATTTTCTTCATTTTTTTTCTAATGCAACACAGATTTTGTTATGGAAAAAGTGATAGATATATATATATATATATATATATATATATATATAGAAAAAATTTACAGGAACAATATCTGATAGAATCAGTATAATTTCATCAAACATTTCTCATGAGGAACCAACTAGTGCAGAACACCAAAACTTTGAAAGAGGAATCATCACCCAGTTGAAAGAGATGTTTGATGCGAGTGAAAAGAGATCACAAAAAATTCAAATTCTGACTGTACTTCCAAAAAGCTGGAGTCTAAGCAAAATACAAACAGAATTTGGCACTACAATGTACATGGCAAGACCAGCAAAAAAACTTGTGAATGAGGAAGGAATTTTAGCTTTGCCAAATACTCGAAAAACTAGATTCCCACAAGAGACGATTGATAAAGTGAGGTAGTTTTATAAAAGTGAAGAAGTCAGTAGAGTGATGCCTGGAAAAAATGATTACAAGACTGTTTTAAAGGATTGGAAACGTGTTCAGGAACAAAAATATCTTGTTCTCTGTAACTTGAAAGAGGCATTTGAATTATTCAAATCAAAGAACCAGGAGAAAATAAGTTTCTCTAAATTCGCTGAGCTTAGACCAAAAGAATGTGTGCTAGCAGGTGGTGCTGGGACTCATACTGTCTGCATTTGCACAATCCATCAGAATATGAAGTTGATGATTGCAGGATCTCATCTTGGTAAACTGACTGAAGGAGAAAATTATCATTTGACAGATTACCACCAATGCATACTTGCTGTTACATGCAATGAAGCATCAGCAAGTTGCTATTAGGTTGGTGCAAAAATAATGTCGTTTTTTGATCTTAAGTTGAACGTCAAAAAATGATATTATTTTTGCACCAACCTAATACTTGGGTGACTGCTCAACTTGCAGCAAACTGATGGATGATTTTGTTTTGTATATGGAAGAAATTTTTTACAAAAATTCAGTTGATGATTTTGTATACAAACAGTTGTTATCAACTGATAGAACCACTCTACAAACTCTATCACAATCCAGAGGAATTCATTGAAACTTTCCATGCAGGCCTTCAAACATTGAAGAAGCATAATTTCATTGCCAAAGCACAATTAAAATTTTGTTCTGATAGAAAAGGTTCTTTGAAGGTTAGTGAAGTTTTAGCAATAGCAGATTTTGCTGAGAATTATTCATTTATTTTGCCATTGCAAGTGACTCAAATTAATGATAGTGCATTTGAAATTTCTAGTTGTGTTGTCATATCCTGCTATGGATAACTGAAATTAAATAGTGCAGTAGAGGAGCCTTAAAAATAATATGCTGGAAAGGAATGTAATGAATAATGCAGAGTGTAAAAGGTTAAAAAAAAAAAATTTTTTTTTCTATAAACAAATTCCTAATTGTCATATTGAACATTTCCTACTAATTGGTTGTTTTCTATTTGTATTTAAGTAGAGCATTAATAAGAAAACAAACAAACAAAAAAAACCTTGTCTAGTTCACTTGATGTTTTTGTAATATAATTTATTTATATTGTTCTCTTTTTCAGGATGCACAGATTTTGTTCAACATGTATTGCAATGATCATATGAATTACAATGATGGAACTTGTTGTCGAAGTCCTGATCCTGTATCTACCTTGCAACTAATCACAGCAGCAACATTTCTTGTTTTGTAAGTAATTATTTCAAGTCAATTTACTATAGGTAAAGTCAAGAAACCCCCAAATAGTCTTGTTTGCAATATAACCTTATATATATAATAATTTTTTATATATATATATCATTGTTACTTTAAGTTTATTAAGATTTGTTTGCTGAAGGATTCTGAATGGTTATGACTCTCCTTGCTTGCTTCTTGTAAACAAATCAAAAAGACCTTAAAAACTTTGTGATTTACTCGGTAATACTTTTTTGCTCCATGTGCTTTTCTCGCTCCCTACTACTCTGATGTCACCTTTTGCTATTTCTTATTTGGTGGAAAGCCAACCTTTATAAATACAGATGTACACTCGAGTAATAGATATATACCTGAAGTTTTAAGTCTCCTTTTTATGTGAAGAACCTCATTTTGAAGTAAAGATCAAAACTAATTATGGATAGGTGTGAGAGAAGGTGATACATGTCATTTATGAGTGATACATAATGAACTGTAGTATTCAAGTAAACAGTTCTTTGTTAATTGGTGCAACCAGAGAAGGGTGCAACAATATATTCTGTTGAATATGTTGTTGCACCCTTCTCTGAGCAGTTAGAATCATGTTCTTACAGACAAGAAAAACAGCAGATATAACAGCTTCTATTGTTTTGTGATTGTTAATACCATTTTTTTTTTTTTTATCAAAACCTGTATTCAGGAAAGGAAAAAGGAGTAAATAAAAATATTGTATTGGATTATATATTTCAAATAAATTGTTGAGAGTTAGAATTGTCTAATAAAGATAAATTAAGTGATACTATAGTGGGTTATTTGATGTTAGATTTTGGCCTTGTCAGGATTAACCCACTATAAGGGATTTATGAAGGTGTAAGTAAAACATAATAAATCAATTTTAAAAAACAATCAAATCTGGAGTATAACAATAATAATTTATATAAACATTAAATAGTGGTTTTATATTTTACAAAAACAGTAGTAAAGTTTATAGATGGCACAAGGTTGTTATTTATAATTTAAGTAAAATTAAATAAAAATTTAATTTGGTAATGTGTCCTGTGAATGAGGAAAAGGAATTTGAACGTATGATAGAAGTAAAAGGGGTGAAAATGACGAGAGAGGTGTGAGGAGTTGTAGTGGTTGTTTAAGCCAAGATTTCTTTGATGTATCCGCTCACAGTTGTGTTCGTCTCTCTGTGACTTCTCTGTTGAAATCTTTTGTTTGAATCTTGTTGTTTTAGACAGGGATCTATTTACTTTAGCAAAATTGAAAGAGGCTCTGATTAAATTGTTGATTATTTTAGGCACGTTCATTTCTCATTGGTCAACATATATTTATTTATATTTACACAACACGTATGGGAGGAATACAGGCCAAGACACTGAAAACACAAACAAGGATGAATGAATTTGAAATGTTGCTAGGTAAGATGAACAGAAATCCTTGTTAGTGCAAAGCAATTCCATTGTATGTTCAACATGGTTCACTGCCAGACACTCTTCCTTTCCAGAAAATGTGTCTGCTTTTATGGAGCTTAAAAGCTTAATGGTTGGCTATCAAACAGAATCATTTGCATAGTCAACACCAATTAGCTCACTGTCCCGACTATCTCATGGGGAAGCTTGTAGACATTTTCTTCATAAGCAGACATCCCAGGGTTTGCACTGGTTCTGTTCCAGCAGGGCAACTGTTTACTTTCTTTCTGCAGAGACAGCACACTAAACTTTGTCTCTGACTGATGGTGGTGGGTACCATTATCAGTGGTGGTAAGCATTTCCACCTGCATTTTATTTATGCCACAGAGATAGCATTATAAGGGACAGGTAAAACAAATTTTAATGTAGCCATAATAAAAAAAAAAAATATTTTAGTCAATCAAATTTCGGATTCAGCAGATTTGTGCAGTAATAGAAAACTATTCTGAGATGAATTATTTCCATGATTAATTTTTGACTAGTCTTCATTTTGTTGTTACTCTTTATCATAACTTTCCATATCAAATGTTAAACGTAGTCATGTGAAGTAAGATTTGACAAGCAGCTTTTGACAAAACTTGAAGTTGCATGTGCATGGTGGCTGAATTGATTAAAATGTCATCCATGAATGACAAGAAACCTAGGGCAGTAGTTCCCAAATGGTGCAGCATGTCTCAAAGGTGCAGCGGAAAAGGATAGCAGGTGAGGCAGAATGATTGAAACACAATCAAAGATTTAGAAAAAGTTTCAAAAAATCCATATGCCAAATATAATTTTGATTTAAAAATTTAAAATATTATTATGAATTACTTGTAATTGCATGCATGAGTCTCAGTATAAATAGTTCTAAATGATTATTGACCAATTTTATCATTGTGATGTTTTTGCATTATATCAAGTATTAAGAATATAGTAACTAGGCTCTGCAAATTGGAGGAGAGAGTTATCAATAATAATGTTCTGACATAGAATCCTTGATTATCTCCCTTTAACACTCTATCTCTCTTTTTTATTTTTAAATGTAATTTTTATCACATAATACTTGGTGAGGCACAAGCAAATTTTCATTCTGAAATTGCAGCCCAGAGGAAAAATTTTTGGGAACTACTGACCTCAGGTATAGGTTCAAGCCTTATCAAAACTACTAGAATTTTTTTTCATGTTTTGCTCCCTGGTCTGATATTAATAAGTGAGAATATGAAGTGTCAAAAGAAAAATGTCTGAATAAAACTGAAGATAGTATTTTTCACAAAAAGAAAATTGAGCATAACAAAGAGAAAGAAGAATAATGTCGTTCAGAAGAAAGCACATCAGTGCATGATGAAACTGCATTTCAGTATAAAAATAATTCTAATGAATAACTGATTAATTTGTACAAGAGATGAATAATGTTTCAGCTTTTAGCGTGATATGAAGACACATTAAAATAGGAATTCATTTTTTAATCAGTTATCAAATTTCCAAATATTCTCATTTTAATTCAAAATCTCCTGTTAGAAATTATTTATTGTGTATAACTTTATCACTTTTTTGTAAGTATTTTTCATATGCTTTCATGAATGTCTGTTTTCCATTTGAAATGTTAGAATTATCTCGGCCATAGCCCTATGGGTTTACCGACGAAGAAAAACTCGAAGAAATGGAGTTAAAGCCAGAGCTGGTGAGTGAATTAGATTTTAATTTTGTTTCTGTTTTTGTTAAACATTTATACCATCAGAACAGGTATTGACACACTTGATTTTAAGAATATCCCTCAAAATAATCAAAATATCTCTTTTATTTACTTTTTCGTATTTCTTTCTGAAACTGTTTTAACAATAATTACAAAGTACCTTAGCAATCAGAAATTCACAGCTTCAACCTGATTGTTATAATTATTCTGAAATTTTAACATTTAAAGATGTTATTAAAAATGAAAGGTTGGTTTACCTGTTTTACAGGTGTTCATGAGCCATTAAAATTAGCATTATATAACAATAACGCCAGAAGCTTTTCATCACCAAATCAATGAAACAGTGATTTAGAAAAATGGAATAATTTTTATTTTTTTTTATTTTGGATAATTTTCATATTTCTCTGTCTATATTTCTGAAATGAGGTATTATAACTATTTACACTGTTTGCTTATAATACCTCACCTCAGAAATATAGACAGAGAAATATGAAAGTTATCCACCCAAAAAAAAAAAGGTGGGGTATTCTATTTTTCTGAATCATTTTGCACTGTTTGGAGGAGGCACAGTGGAGTAATGGATAGCGGCTCAGATTGAGGAATGTGAGAGCCAAGTTCAAAATCCAGTCAAATCCATTACACTCGCTCACGTGCTAATACCCTTGGGAAAGGTATGGATATTCTTCTCCCCCCAGCTATGGATAAATAGCAAGACAGACCAGGTTCTATAGCCTTGGATGGCAACTGGTCTACCGCAGGAAGAAATGGCAGTCTACTGCGGGGGAAAAAAATCTGCCATGTCAGTCATGTATCAATCAATACACGCTTAGACAATCATGTATCTTTTGATAATAAATGATCACCTAAACGTGTATTACCTATGGCATATAACTGACTGACACTGTTCTGACTATTGTCCTCATCTTTGTTGTCATATTCACAACATTTCGGTCATTGTACAACTTCGCCTTGACAGGTGATTGGAATTTCAAGATGAACCCTTTATTTCGTCCACCAGGGTAGATTGCTCTAGTTCCGCATACCATGCCTTTTCTGGATATCTCACTTCCAGATATTTCCCTTCAGTAACTCAACTCTCCAACTCTCACCTCTGCTGTAGTCAGGTATTGAACTCACAACTCTTTGGGTCAAGTCACTGGATTACTTAAACCAATGCTTTTATCCACTGGGCCATGTTTCATGCTCAGATTTGTTTAAAATTGGATAGTTTACTCTTAATATTATATCAATTCAATATATGCGAATAATCGAGCATTTCCTTCCTGACAAATTTATTTAATCATTTACATATGTAGTATTTCATGAGCATTCTCAGTGTCTAGTGTCTTAAAGATAACAAGGCAAACTTGTTCAAGACAGTCTAACTGTAGTTTCAAAGTCAAGACAACAGATAGAGATGTAGGTCCACTAAATAGGAACTTTATTTTCAATTGATTTGCTAATTAGGATGAAATTTCCAAAGCCTGGAATGATACTGGTGTAGGTGTTTCTTGACCCACAACACTCTGGATACTTTATCAGCTCAGATATGACAGCAGGATACTAATTTTGAAGCTCCTACTAACTTTTAAGTAGAAATAAAACTGTTTAATTTTGGTTAGAGACCATTAAAGTTGCCCTGTTGATCAATGGAACCTGGTCATTTTCAGTGATGAACAAAATTCCATATTTCATTCAGTGATCGTGGCACATCTGTCTGAAGAAAGTCATATGATAGTGTCATGTGTGCAACAAAAGAAATAAGATAAAGAGAAGTAAAGGAAACGGCAAGAAGAGCAACTAAATTTTATAGTCAACAAAATATTTATTATAATTTTAGTGATTATGGTCAGTGATTAAAAAGGAAAAAAAAACAAAGACATACCAGCAAGTAGTTAGAAAGATTTCAAAATAACTTCAGTTGAGAGTTGCTGGGTTTTGGTGGTATAGTTTACATGTCAGGTCAGAAAATGGCAGTAAACAGACTACTCTTTAGCAGATTTCTACAACTAACTTTGCCAGCCAACTTGCTTTATTTTGGTGCCAAAATAGATATCCTGGGAAAATGCATGAAAAAAAAAAAAAGGTAAAATCCTCTCAATCTGCGATAATTTGGGGTTGTCTGTCTGTCACCAGTGTTGAAAAGGTTGGTTGATGCTACTATGAGGATGTTTTAGATTTTCTCCTTATCCCATACGTTGAGGGCAAATTTTGGGGACAATAAATTTATCTTCCAGTGTGATATTGCTCCACTCCATGCAGCAAAATCTGGAAAAGAATGGATTAGGGAAAAGAGGATAACTGTCCATGATTAGCCCACAAATAGGCCAGATGAGAATCCTCAAGAGGAAAATATTAGCCATCAAATCTTGTGGAATTGGAGTCATTACTAAAATGTGGGCATTGCTGACACCAAAGGAATGTTAATCAGTTCATTACTACAATGAATAAAAAGTAATAAATGCAAAAGGTGTTACAACAAAGTATTAATGTATTAATACAGGTCTTCAAACTTTTGAAAATTTCACATTTCAAAGAAAATCTGGTTGGTGAAATACTACTAGATAATTTTTGTATATCAAATTGATATATCTTTAAGAGTAAGCTATCCAATTTTAAAGGATTTCAAGCAAGAAATATGAAAGTTATTTGCAAAAACAAAATATTCCATTCTTCTGAATTGTATTTAAAATACACCAAAAAAGTTATCTTCATCTTTTACAGTTTAAAATTATTTGGATAAAACTATAAAATTCACTGCTTACTATTCAAATCTGTATATGTCACGGTATCTCTCTCTCTAAAGTGCCATGTTTCTCCAGAATGTAGGCAGTCCTGACTGTCTACCAATCCCTTTTCTTTACCTGTGAATTGCCATGTCTTCTTAGAAAAGATAATGGAGTTTCCCATTCCCTCCAAGGTCTTGAATTTAGAGTTTTCTTACTCTTAGACTAGTTGCCAGCGTACTCTGTTCGTTAACTCTTAGAGAAGAGATGGATTCATGCCTTTCCCAGGGTTATTAGTACAGAAGTGAAAACAATAGACTAAGCCAAAATTTAAATTATGGTTATTGATTTCACTTTATAATTTCTCTAAAACTATGACATTTTTTACAAGAAATTTCACTCATCCTGGAGACAGGGGCATTCATATAAGGCATCCACAGTATAACTTTTTAAATAAGTATTTCTTTTCTTCAGTTTCTCTGCAGGGTTGCAAGTTCAGTAAAATAGGATGTGAAGGATTTTTAAAGTATGGCTATTCTTGAGCAAAAAGCCTCTCTTGACTCAAAACAGCACAACTCGACAAAAAAAAGATAGTGAATAAAATGATTGCTGCAGTACAACCCCCCCAAAAAAAACTGCAGGCATAATTAATAGCAAAGCATAAAGAAAAGATAAAATCCTTACTTTAATCATTTCACCTCAAGCAAGGCAATAAAGCCACTAAGATGCAGAGTGTTGTGAGTGTTAGAGAATATGAGAAAAAACACTATTAAGGAGTCAGTTATGTGCCATTCGTGATAAACGCTTAGGCGATCATGTATCTCTTGATACATGACTGACAAGGTAGATTTTTTCCCCACAGTGGGTTGCCATTTCTTTCTGCAGTAGATCAGTTGCTATCCAAGGCTACAGAACTTGGTCTGTCCTGCTATTTACCCATAGCTGGAAAGAGAAGAAGAGGATTCATATCATTCATATCTTTCCCAAGGGTATTATCATGTAAGTGAATGTAATGGATTTGACTGGAATTCGAACTCGGCTCTCCGATTCCTCAATCTGAGCCGCTATCCATTACTTCACTGGACCTCCTCTATTAAGGAGTGAGAACAATAAAAGAACAAGAATTAAAAAGACAGAAGATAATGATTGATGTTAAATTAAAATTTTTGAAGATCAAAATTGATGAGGAAGCAAGAAGTTGGAGGAGAGTTCCACAAATGAGATGTGCAAGAGAAGAAATTGTTAGCATAGAACTTATGTAACCAAAAAACCAGATGGATGTCAGTTATCTCAAGGACACATGGCACAGTGACAGGACTCAAAGAGTGTGAGTTCAATACCTGGTTAAGACAGTGGAAAACTTGGAGAGGGGAATTAACAGGAGATAACTGACATCCATTAAACATGGCAAGTGGAACTAGAACAGTCTACCCCAATGTGCGGAATAAAGGGTTCAGACTGTTCAGTATTCACTGCCATATAGGAGGACTGATATAATGTAACAGTTCAGTACTCTTAATTTATTGTGTTCATTAATAAATACTTTGTTTTGATTAAAAAGAGAAATCAAATTATTTTGTTACTAGCTATAACAATCATCAAATTTTGAAAATTTCACAATTGCCTTCTCCAAAGTTTTGAATTCAGTTTTCCTTCTCTTAGACTGGTTGCTAGCCTAGGCTAAGGAGCCTAAAGTCTACCCAACTATTTACCCCATTGCTCAACAAAAATTTCTGTTGGCGTTAATGGGTTACTATTTTTGCATGTAAAAATAGTAAGCTATTGTTGACCTTAGTGAAGAAAATACCATTTTAGCTTTTGTAAGAGTTGTGTATAGTTATTTTAAAAATGAAAGTTTTTAAAGCTATTATTTTATAACCGATATTAAGTAAAATTAGTTGTAAAGGTAGAATATTAAGGAATTATGTCAGAGATAATCTGTTTTCTATTATTTTTGTTACTTATTTGTTTTTATTTATTTTTTTTTATTTATTGATATTTTTCCCCTCCTTATTTCTTTTCTTGCACAGAATTTTAATTTACCTGTTGTGTCTTTTTAGAAAATGGACCTCGTAATGGACAAACAAGCTCCCAAAATAACAGCACAGATACATGCCAAGAAATTCTTACACATCTGGCCAAACTGGGGATTATCATGTTTTATTTTTACCTTTGTGATAGGTAAGTCAGGATATTTCAGTTTCTTGTACTTGCTTGAGAAAGAAGTTTTGTGGCAAGATCAAACTCGTCTATAGTAGGATTTTACAAACAAGTAGTAATTTTGTAATACATTTTGGACATATTGAAAAAATAATGGGCAAATTGTTTTTTCTGTTTGAATTTCTGGGATGAGATGTTATCATTATTTACATGTGGCTTGTAGATGGTGTAATGGATATCAACTTAGAATGAGAACTGGGAGAGCTGGATTTGAATTCCAGTCGGGTTCGTTAAATTCATTTACATGCAAAACCTTTGGAAAAGGTATGAATCCATCACTTCTCCCCCATCTATAGGTTAAATAGTAGGAATATACATCTGGAAAAATCATTGTTATTCTCATAATTATTAATGCAATATTCACTCACAGAATGGAGTTATTCTTACAATCCAAAAGATGTTTTGGTTTTAAGTAACCGATAACAAATTAATCTGAAACATAAATGTAGACTATTGTCCTCATCTTTCAAACTGAACCCTTTATTTAATCTGTTTATGACAGTATAACATTAAAACACCAGTTTCTGTATGATCACCAATGTTAAGCAACATTGAGTTTGGTCAGTACCTAAATGTGTGATTGTTTGAGAATACCAGGTGCTGTAAGCTTGGATGAGTGGGTGGTGTAATAGATAATGGCTCAGAATTGTTATTTGGAGAACCAAGTTCCAATTTTAGTTGAGTTCATGAGGCGAATGAAGAAAACAGTAACCAGCGAGTAAATTCAAGCTCACTCAGCTGGTATTTCAAACTTGAGTCGTTCCTTCTTGAGTTCTGTCTCCAAATCACACTAACTGCCCGTTCTAGCAAATCAACCGTGAACGCCCCTCAAGAACTCGCCGACTTGGAAAAAAGTAGTTGTTTTTATAGTTGTTCATGTACCCATAATCCCTTGCATCTTCCTGTGATCCCATAATTCATTGCGTCCATGTCCCATAATGCATTGCGTCCTTATTGGATAAAAATGCGATGCCAGTCCCCCCATCATTCTTTTATGTTATCTGGCCGAGGATGGATTACGGCAGAGCGGTAAGTGCTTTTTTTTTCTCCCTCATTTCAACTGCAGTAGCTTTACATGCTAAGCAAATACGGGCCCTTTTTGGCGGGGACAAGGCAAGTCGCGACTAGTTGTGCTCGTCCCCAGGTTCTGTCTCATGTCCGCCACACTCCCCTGATCTCCTGATCACACAGATGACAGTGAGGATACGGTCTTTTGTTCCGGTGCTCCTCCGAAGGGGGATTGGTTGAACTTCTTCATCAGAGGAGCTCTCATTAGACACGCCCCGATCTATTGGCAAACTACCACTATCGGAGTGATTGGTTGTTGAATCCAACTCTATGTATATTGGCTGTTCACTATCCTCCGTGTCTTCTTCGTCAGTTGTGGGATTTGAGCCCAAAAAATGGCGCGGTCTCTAACATGACGAGGTGTTCCATCGACCAAGACTGACTGCTGACTCACCACCTCGGTCACACGTCCGTTCCAAATTTGGTCGTGCATTTACCACGGGAGTCTTAACCCAGACAATGTCCCTTCCTTGTATTCCCCTTCGGTTATTTGTGATTCAGGCGGGGCGTCGGCGTCGATGCCTCTCACCCGGACGTGGTATGTGTGCAGTACATCAGCGGTGCCGTGGAAGGTGAAAGGTTGTCCTTAGGTGTGACGTTATGCCAGTAAACCGCTTCCAAGACTGAACAATTTTTTCTGGCCGCTATGGTTTTGACGCTTCTGTGGTTGCGTTCCACAATGCCATTTCCAGGCGGCACGTAAATCTGACCGAACCTCAAATGCACGCCCCAGCTGTTCACAAATTCCCTAAATTGTCTGCAAGTGAACGTGGTGTCATTGTCAGTCAGTATTTCGGTCGGCGGGCCTCGTTAGAGAAGACTGTCTCTAGCTGACGAATGACACCAGCAGAGTCTTGCCGTCTCAGTGGCCGCCATACTGCAAAACGGGAGGGACCACAGTCAATGAGCGTAAGAAAATGGCTACCATTGCAATGGGTTCGTCCATTGCTAACCTGCTCCAGTTTTTTCTCACACTCAAATTTCCTTTCTTCCAATGCACTGGTGCTGGATCGATCGATTGGCAGGCTTCACAGGTTCTAACGACAGATTTCACCAGTTCTTTAGACACCGTTGGATCTACAGTCCTAGCAAAGTACATTGTTCTTTTAACACCTGGGTGCCCACTCTGCTGGTGGATGTGGGTCACCTGACGTTTGCTCAACTGGCTCGCGTTGCAGTGACACAACTCACTTGCACCGGTTCTCCTCCTTTCTTGTGCATCTCCAACCAGCGTTGCGGCACTCTGGTGAGGCTGTCAGCGCGGTTCTGACAAGACTTCACCAACGTCACAGTCATAGTCAGTGCGTCCTCCTCCAAAGCTTCGCAGTGTCTCTAAGCGCCGCCTCATCAGCATTTCACCCGCTGCCTTCGTGTTCACGCGCGTCCTTCCTGTCAGGGTGTCAGACACCCACCGATGCACACATGCTGAATCGGTGACCACATGCATAACTGGTGCCTGCCACTGCAGGGCAAGATTCACGCCCTTGATTACCGCATCAAGCTCAGCAAGATTAATGTGTTTGGCATCATTGGTTGGACGCAACCAGCAAGCATCTTCCACGACGCCCCATTCACCTCTAGTGCTACTCCCGTACACGGAGCTTGCATCCACCCAAACTGTCATTTCATTGCCGTTCACACACCAGTCTCCGCCGACAGGATCTGATTCCCGCACTCTGGCCACTGTTTCCTCCAGCATACGTCCAAGAGGGGCATCCTTTATCTCGTCAGTCCCATCCTTTGGTTAGTGTACTTGCATAACGCTTAATAAATGCAGTTGCCACCCTAAGCCAACCGCATTACAGGAAATGACCCACAAGTTTCCCGACAAGGAAAAATACGCTCAAGGGTCAACTTTTGAGCAATTTCTGAACCTGACCTCCCCGCTTCCATCGAAGGGAGTTGCTTTCTTCCCAGACTTGCAGACCCAGGACCTTAGTTCCGTCTCTCAATCGCCCGGATCTTTACAGACTAGCCCGTAATCTGCAAAGTGCTGTCTTCGCGCTGCAGAAACTAGGCCTTCATTTATGAAGATATCGTCGAAGAGTATGCCGACGTGGCACTCTTAATGTCCTGATCCTGGGGCGTTATCATGTCGATCACTGACTTCATGACAAGTGGTGCCACATTCAGGCCAAAACCCAAACGCGTAAGGCAAAAAACCGCTTGCCCTTAATGACCACTGTTTGAAACGGCCATAGCGATTTGTCAATGTGAATCTGTAGGTACGCATTTCTCAAATCCAACAGCGATACGTCAGCTCCTTGTCGCCGCCATTCTCGTAATTTCTGCTTTACACCCTCTGCGCCAGCCGTGAATGCGCTCTACAAAGCCGCTCAACTCCCGATAGTCAAGTACCGTCGGACCTTCTGTTTGTGTTCTTGTACGACCGCCATTAAGGGAATTAATCCCTTGGGTGGGCCAAGCTCTTTCTCAGGATATGGCAGTAGCCATCCGTCTCGCTGCCACCGTGCTAGTTCTTCATCGTATGCATCCCGGACGTGGCCAGGTACTGTATACTCCTGTACTTTATTGACCAACTTGCTGGTGAATAACCACTCGCCCACTTCCACAATGCAGTCCACGTTTTTGTGCTCGGGTTAAACGTCACTCTAAAGTCAGGCTTGTTGATAACAATGGCGCACATGTGATCAGGTTTCAAACGAAGCTTCGCCTGATTCGGTCAAAATAAACACCTCCGAGCACTTTGATTGCATCAATCCCCGAGAAGAAGATCGAATCCTAGCAACTGCCCTTCCACGACCAGAACCTCAACAGTCACGGGCTGAATATGCTCGACGCCCAACTTAATTTTACCGTATCCACGGCACTTCAGGGTCTTCCGTTACGGCAGTCAACACTCCCTCTTCCTGCCTCCAGCAGCGACACACAGTCTTGCTCACCAGCGTCTGTGAGCATCCTGAATCCACTAGAGCTGTGCACTCTACTCCATCTACAAATACTTGTACGGTGGGTAACTTCCGGGTTTTACTTGCTCGGGAGAAGGCTGGCGCTGACGCCTTCTCCCCTTGGGCGTTTTCCTGGCATTCTGAGGAAATGTGTCCAATGCCGTTGCATCAAAAAACACCGCTTGTCGCGACCAGACCTCTGCGTTCTGTTTGACCTCTCCTGACGTCCTTGTGTACAATCCTTCGCCATATGGTTGGGTCCAGAGCACTTGTAGCAGGTAATCGTTCTGATAACAGGTTTGGCAGGGGGAACCTCAGCTTCTGAGCGCGTTAGCTCTCACGGATGCGGCGGCCAATACCTGGCACCCCGTCATCCGTCATAATAGCCCTTGCTCGGGTCAGAATCTGTTCTAGATTCATGTCGTCCATCCTGGAAGAAGCTTTGAGAAGCTGCCTAACATGATGTGTCAGGACTGCCACAAATGCACATGCCATCCACCGATCAGGTAGCGGTTCTCCTACTAGCCGCGCCAAACGATGCATTTCAGCCAGGAATTCATCCACAGTTTCCCCAGGGCGAAGACGCCGTCCCATAAATTGGTCGAACGCATTAAATCTGTCAGTCGCGTATGCAGTCATAAGGGCCCGTTTAATTTGTTCCGCGTCTGCCCTCTGCTCTCCACTGAGTTGTCTATATACAGCAAGGGCACCGCCTCGAGTCGTAAAGGCAAGATGCGCCGATCTTGTCCATGGCACAAAGTTCGCAGACCAATTCCACATTTTCTATCCATTCAACAATGGGCATATCCGTTGGGGCGCCATGAATTCTGGAATCAAACGGACGCCAAAGACCTTGCCTTCCATTTTGAAGAATCAATATGCCGAAATAGCTTGAGGCGAATGAAGAAAACAGTAACCAGCGAGTAAATTCAAGCTCACTCAGCTGGTATTTCAAACTTGAGTCGTTCCTTCTTGAGTTCTGTCTCCAAATCACACTAACTGCCCGTTCTAGCCGTCAACCGTGAACGTCCCTCAAGAACTTCGCCGACTTGGAAAAAAGTAGTTGTTTTTATAGTTGTTCATGTACCCATAATCCCTTGCATCTTCCTGTGATCCCATAATTCATTGCGTCCATGTCCCATAATGCATTGCGTCCTTATTGGATAAAAAAAATGCGATGCCAGTCCCCCTCATTCTTTTTTATGTTATCTGGCCGAGGATGGATTACGGCAGAGCGGTAAGTGCTTTTTTTTCTCTCCTCATTTCAACTGCAGTAGCTTTACATGCTAAGCAAATACGGGCCCTTTTTTGGCGGGGACAAGGCAAGTCGCGACTAGTTGTGCTCGTCCCAGGTTCTGTCTCATGTCCGCCACAGTTCATTATATTCACTTATCTGTAAATCCTTTTGGGAAAGGTATGTATTCACTTCTTCTGACAACTATGGGGTTAATTAGTAAAACTTGTATCACTAAATCATTATCACCAAAACAAAAAATTCTTACAAACTAAAAATATTTTCTGGCTTTAAATAATCCTCAATGGGTTGATAAGCTGTAAAAAAAAAAAAAATCAATCAATCAGTTTATTTAATCTATGAAGTTTGATTGTTCCTGTTCGCCTGGTCATGTCTAGGGATATCTCGTCTTGTTCTTATTTAGTATTGCCCAGTTATTGCTCGCCACATTTCAGCAAAATGAGAACAGTTTACCCCCATTAGATTAAATAAAAAGTTTGGTTTGAAATTCCCTGAAGGTTATCCAGATTGACTAACACCTGATGAAGGCCAGAGGATATCATGGGCGAAACGTTGTGAGAATAACAACAAAGATCCTTACTACTGAAATCTGTTGAAGGAATACAATAGGACTGCTTCATTACTAAAGAAAGGTGTCAGTCTATGTAACCCCTTCCATGATACTGATCATGGCCAGCATGGGATACAGTTGAAGATCCAGTGAAGTGGTAGGTTCAAAGTCTAGTTCCATTTGGGGGGAGGAATCTTTTAGTGAGGTTTATTAAAACTTCAGCAAACAGCTTTTTTTTCTTTCTTTTTTTAATAGAGATGAGGGGTCAGTTTTAATGTTGTACAGATTTTATTCATTCAGATTATATTTTTATCTTTTGGAATTAGAAGTTTTATAAAACTTGTTTTTCAAGAAATTTTATATTAAATAATTGTTAACAGACCTCCCCCTTTTTTTATTTTATTTTTTTTTTTAACATTTCAAAATTTAAGTCTGTTCTTATCTGATAGGTAAGAATCTAAGATTATGAAGTTTTGGCTGTCAATTTCATATGTGATGAAGCATAAATTATCGTTTTATTAAAATTTTGATTAATAAAATATTGAATTCTGCTAACTGCACTTTTTTTTCTTTTTTTTTTTTTTAAATTAAAGTTTTCTTTTATGGAGAAAAAAAATATTTTACTATTGTTTGATAACTTACCATATATTTTTGTATGTAAGGTGACCTTTAGATAAGGTGAGGTTAAAAAATATAGCAAATTTTCATGTATTTATTCAATATCTATAGTATAAGACAACTGTTTATTGATTCTATAAAGGTGATGTTATTGGAAATGTTACTTACTGTATCCATAGAAATTCAAATTAAATGAAATAACAAAACCTATTCTACAGGGTGCTATGGGTAAATTATCGCCATTTTATATTTTTAATTTTGCCCATGTGCATTGTTTGTTTCTGATTTTGTTGACCGCACAGTATATTAGTGTCATTGGGCACCATCTATGAGAAAGAGTAACATGATGCAATTTGCTCTGCCAGAAATTTAGAAACGGCATGCTGTACTGCTTGGTATTCATGCCGGAAGCTCCAATACAAACAAGTCAGAGTGTTTGGGTGTCAATCTGAGAACAGTACAGAGGATTTGGAAAGAGTTGGATGGTGATTATGGAGGTACAGCAGCTTGGAAAACTTACTCTGATCATTCTGATAAGAACACCTGAATTTGTTAGTGAGAGCCTCAGCCTCAACATAGAGGCCTACATCAAGTACCTTGAGGAGGTAGTGATACCCTGAATCAAGAGGGCAGTTGCTGGAAGACCCTGTCTCTGGCAACAGGAATCTGTACCATGCCAAACAAACAGGAGAACCCAGTCATGGCCATTAATTAATTTCTGTGACCACATGACCTCTTACATCTGGCCACCTAACTCTCCAGACTATAATCTCCTTGATTATTAAGTGTGGGGTGCAGTTGAGCGAGAGATCAACAAAACTCCTTGTAACATGAAAGATGAACCGAAGGCAAGGGTTATGGCAGCGTTCACCATCTTAAACAAGAAGACCGACCAGAAGAGCTGCATGATATTCGGAATCATCTGGAAGCCTTGGTTGAAGCCAATGGCGATTTTATTGAATAAATTCACTTGTTAGTATTTCAACATATTTTTTGTGTAATTTTAGTAAATATATCTGTTAAAATGAGATGTCTGTGTTCATTTTCATTTTTGCATAATTTGTATGATAATTTATTCATCACTCTCTGTATATATAACATTTATTGTTTCATTTGATTAAAATACCAAATGTAACTACACAGCAGAATATAAGCTTTATATATATACATATATATATAGTTCTGGGCTTGTTTATTTATATCTTTATATTAAAATTTAATTCAATAAAATATTGACATTTTTTTTTTTTTTTTCTTCAATCAGTCTAAAGCTTGTTCTACTTTTCATGTTAATAAATTTGATAAAGTAAAATTGATTTAAAAAAGAAATCGGTGACTAAAAAACTAGGATTTTTTATGTGAATTTTTATTAAAATATTTTGCAAAGATTGACTCTGAATCTATCTTTAGCTTTCTGGCTGTAAGTATACAAATATCCTGCTATATGGTCTTTAGTTTCAGATTTAACTTGTCATAGGAACTTCAATACATTTGGCTCTAATAATGTTGAAATGATGTTGATGTCATTTTTTTTTTTTTTTTTTTTTTTTTTTTTTTTTTGCATAATTAAGACGACAATTTATCCATCGCACCCTGTATATTGTTTTTTCCTACACATGTCACCTAAAAGGGAAAGCATTGTTTTGTTTACATTTCATCACATGATCTCTTGTGAATATTGATTCAACCTGGTGTACCAATGGCCATTTACTTATACTTCATCAACAATAACAAATAAAGTTTGTATGTAATCTTAAATTGTGTTATTATTTAACACCAAAATGATAATGAATTTTTCATGAGAAATGAATATTATCTTATCTTAAATGTTATTACTGCCGTTATTAACACTACCATGATGATTATTGAAAGTTTAATGAAAGATAAAGGTTGCTGTGGGTGCAATCATAACTTGATTTTTACATTTTCTCAGCTGAACTTGCATGGCTACAAGTTAATTTCACTAATATTCAATTATTCTTAAAATATGTAATTTATTACAAAGTTGTGCCAGTAATATACAAGTTAGAAATGGTTTTATTACTTTTATTATCAGTTTATTTGATAATGTGAATCTTTTAATGTATGTTATTGGTTATTGTACCAATGTTAGCCTACAGACTGACATCACTCAGAATTTAAGATTTCATTTTTTAGAACTGTAGTATAAGATAACCCCCAATTTTTAAGGGTGATTTTGGGGATTTGAAGGTCATCTTATACATGGAAATATAAGGTACATTGAGTGTAAGAACAAGATTTAAAACAATTCAAGATGCTTTATTATTTTTTATTTTATTTGTTTAAATTTATTTATTTTTTTATTATTTAGGACAAATTTCTTCATGAGAGAAAATAAATATTACACACATGTGAACTTTTTCCTCCCCTTTGCCTATGTTATGATTCTGGGATTCTTTTTTACTGAACCAACAGAACAGGTAGGTATCATTATCCTCATCATCATTAGCATTATTATTTTATAACAATGACAACTACAGTAATTATAATAATAATAAGAAGAAGAAGACCTATTTCTCTTAGATAAATACTATTGGTGCTGTCACTTTGAATTTAAATGGAACAAAAACAATTCCTTCTTAAAAAAAAAATGTTCAAACTCAACTATAAACTTAGGGTTAAATCTAACCATTTGAAAATGGATCTTGTATTTTTGCCTATTTGGAAGTCCCATTTGAAACTTATGATACAAAGGCTCACTCTTCCACGCTAACTGGGATTTTACAGGCTAGCTGTAAAAAAAAGAAACTGTATTCAGATTAGTTATTCTGAAGTCGTCTGGAAGCCATGGTTGAAGCCAATGGCGATTTTATTGAATAAAATTAGTCTCTAGTATTTAAAGATATTTTTGTGTAAATTTGGTAAATTTATCTGTTAAAATGTGATGTTAGTGTTATTTTCATTTTTGTGTAATTTAGACGATAATTTATCCATCGCTCCTTGTATATATAATAGTTATTGTTTCATTTGTTTAAACTACCAAAAATAACTACACATCAGGAGATATATATATATATATATATATATATATATATATATATATATATATATAGTTTGGGGCTTGTTTATTTATATCTTTGTGTTAAAATTTAATTAAAAAAAATATTGACATTGGTTTTTTTAAAAAAAATTTTCAATTGTTCAATCAGACTAAAGCTTGTTCTACTTTTCATTCCTCCTTAAAAAAAAAAAATGTCCAAGCTCAACCACAAACTTAGGGTTAGATCTAACCATTTGAAAATGGGCCTTGTATTTTTGCCAGTTTGGCAGTCCCATTTGAAACTTATATAAAAAAAAAAAAAAAAAAACACTCTTCCAGGCTAACTAGGATTTTACAAGCTAGCTGTTAAAAAAAACTGTTATTAACATTGATTGGTTGAATATTGGGATTAAACATACCTATCCTGTACCAGTCTTGTTGGGTATGTAAAAACATTAAAAAGGAAAGATTTCTCAACCTATATTTTAGAGAAATCAGAATTGGGCTAAAAATAAAGAACACTTCAACATAAAATAATTTATGTCTGCTTAAAATTGATATTATATGTTGAAATATTTTGAGATTGTTAGGAGACTATGATAGAACTGGTAAGCAAGCTTCTGAATTGGCAAGGCATGAATTGGTTAGGTAACCACAGCTATTAAACCATTTGGCATCTGACAAGCAACATTCCTTATTTCCCCCAATTCTCACCTTCACAGATAAGACCCACCATAACATGTATACTGAGGCAAACCATCCACATTCCCTTTGTATTCTATTAATAAGGAAGTTCCACTTGAATAGCTTTTTCCCATGAACTGACTCCCAAGAGAGTGCTTTCTTCACCACTAGAATCTTAACTTTTTCAAATCTAGGATTAACAGTTATCTTCCCAATTATCTTCATAAACTGCATTTCTTACTCTTATTTTTTTTTAATTTTTGAGCAATTCACCCCAAGCAAGGCAATAATGTCACTAAGAAACAAGGGGCTACTGAGAGTGAAAGAGAATGAGAAAATTTTAGAAGGAACAAGGGCATCCACTCCTAAACAGGAAACAAGGGATAAACCTCTATTCCAGTTCAAAGGACCAGGGTGTAGTGTGAACTGGACAATATTGCTTATGAAATAAAAACAACCTCTTTCAGTAACCCTCTACCTTGAGTGGTTCTTGAACATTGTATATGGTGAACATTAGTAAAAAAAAAAAAAAAATCTGTGCTGCATTGATAGTGATGCTTCAAGTGACAGTAACTATCATATCTGGTGCTGAGATGAGACGGCAGTAGATAAGATATATCACTGACAGTCCTGTCTATATTCTAGGACTGCGGTTCAGGCCCGACCTTCAGATGGAGAAGAATTGGTTGGTGGTCCAGGCAAAGGTAGGCATGTTGGTCTGGGTTTGGCTTTGAAGATGGTTCTCTTTAAAGGGTAGGGCCAATGTGTGCATCATGTACATCTTTCACTTTATTCTTTACTGATTTTCAGTACTTCCACTCTTTGATTGTCATCTGGGGGCATTCAAGGGCTCGCTTCTCTCCCTGTCGTGGATTGGAGGCAAGCTGATTATCTGCAAAGAGATCTGTATCCAGTGTCACAAGGGGTCTGGGAATGCTGCTCTTGTCGAGTCACAACACACTTTGAGACTGCTTTCCTATGCCACACATTGACAAAGAATCCTTTGTGAGCAAGGAGTGTTAGGGTTGCCTTCACTAGCCTTACTATCACTTTTTTCCAGCACAGGGCTGAGTAAGCGCTGTCATAGGTCCCAGCTCCAGAAGGCTTTCCTCAAAGAGTGTCAGCAGGCCTTGCATGTTACTCCTCATTCCAGTGACCTTTCACAGCCTAGGAAAACATTGTATCTGGCATTAGTGGAGGGGGTTGTGTCGGGTTCACTCTGTGGCTAGCTTGGCCTGTCAGTGGATGAGTTGCATTCTTTTTGGTCCTGGACACAGCGGCAGATTATCTGATTTTTTTGCTTACCTGGTGATTAGACCAGAATGTACTGCTTCTCAATGATGTAGGTTTGCTATCAGTGTGATTGTGGTTTGGAGGAAATGACCAAGCACACCTTCCACTGTCTGCTGGTGCACCCATTTTGGGACCATGACGGTGAGTTGATGGCGCATATAGATACCGAATATCTTGTGTCCATTGATCTTGCATATATGTGTGATAATTTGTCACCCGGTGGTCTGGAGTGAAATGATTGTTATTTCTCACGCTGCTTGCCATTGCAAGTATAGTGGCATGAGTGATGTTAATGGAAGGAATCATACGGATGAACACTATTCTCATCAGGATCTGATTGGATTCTTTAAGCGTCAGCTCAAGGTGAAGATCACAACTGATAGAAAGTGATTGGTTTTGTCAGATTTCAGCAAAAGGTGGATATGTGTTGCAAGCATGGTTTGCATGAATTGGGTCAAAGTTGATTTCCTTTTTTAGTCCCTTCGGGTTACAATGGGACAGATTCCTGGCAGACCCCACACCTGGTTTAGCTAGTCTTCTCGTTCTTCTAGTCAATGTGAATGACTGTTGTTCCTGACCCCTCTCTTTTGCTATGTTCCTTTTCAAGATTCCCTACCTCCCCAGTTTCTATTCTCATTTTTGTATCTTGATTGGATCAGCCTTTTACACTTTCCCCATTACCATGTTTGCTTTTTGCCCCTTCCCCTCCACCACTAGCAAGTGAGCCACTTGATTCTGTCTGATCACAGAATACAGCAGCCATTTTCATTTTTGTAGGGGCGGATGGTACCTTACTAACACAATTTTAATTTCATTTAAACTGTTTAGTTGACATTTTATTTGATTGTAGGCCCCCACCCTTTTTTTTTTTTTTTTTTTTTGTATAATTGTATATATTCCATCGCACATCACAAATTTGTATATATTTTGTAAAAAAAGAAATTTTACATACATATATCATGGGTGTATTATTATTATTATAATTATATAATTATTCCCCAGTATTTTGGTGCATGTTCGAATTGAATAGCAAAGGATGAGATCTTGCTTACGTAAATTGTTAGAATGGATGGGTCACGAATTGAACTAGCTAAGAGTAGGATAGTTACAGATGATCATCCTCTCCCCAATGCTCCTCATTTGGCGGTGTGCCACAAATAATGTATGTCATTATTAAATAAATGATTTTTGTGAGGAGGTTGCATGTGTGTGCATGGAGATTTGTACTTTGTGAACTCTTATTATACACCACATATTTATTCCTTTTTATGTTTTTGCTGCAGAGTTTAGCCTTTGATATTTTTCTTGAATGGCTACTCATAAAAGCCAAAAACTGCACTGCAGTCAACTGAAGAAAGAGCAGAAACTTAGAAACCACAAGAACTCAAATATGGTGGGGGTCAATTATCCAGACACTTTAGGAGACAAATCAATGGAATGGCAGACATAACATGAATAGTTACATTGAGGACACTTTAAGAGAGAAGCTGAGACACTTTTCATTGTGACTCAAAACAATGCCATAAGAACTAATTGTATAAATGCTAAGATTAGATAAAATGTCACATGAAAGCAGCAAAGGTGTGGAAATAAAGAGGAAATGGTGAAGCACATAATTAGGGAATGTAGCCAGAATTTAAGAAAAGAGGCATAATTGTGTAAAAGAAAATTGTGCTATTGACCATACAGAACAAATGGCGTATGCACAGATCAGAATTAGTCTTCAAGAATAAAACATGCACAATTGTCTAAGACTTTTCGAGTCAAATGAACTACCCAATCCAGTCTAAGCGACCAGACATAACAGTAGTAAACAAGAAAATATACAATGTACTATATTCTGTTGTTTTGGCAGACCACAGCAAAGAGAGATTGAAATAGAGATAAATACATCACTATGTGTGATGTATTTATCTATAGGATATATCTATATTCTATAGATACATCACACTTTGTTAGAGAGTTAGGGAAGTTGGGACACAGGAAGGTAATAGTCATGCCTGCTGTGAAGCACTAGGAACAGTCTCAAAGAAGCTGAAGGAACTGGAAATTAAGGGAAGAGTAAGAAATAAACTGGTGATAGCATTACTGAAATCTGAATACTGAGGAAAGTGCTAGAGTTTTGGAGAGACTTGTTGTCACTTAATCTTCAGTACAGGCCAGCAGTTGTAGTCATAGTAGTATCAGTACTCTTTTTTGCTTTCAGGCCATTCTGAAAATAAGATGAAGATTTAAAAGCTGAGAGAATATATAACTTTCAATATGAACGAAGAATTGTAAAAAAAAAAAGATACAAAAGAAATATTAACAGCTTTTTTAAAAGCCATTCATTTTAATTCTTTTCTTTCATCACAAGAAACACCAGCTTAGTGGGAAAAGTACTAATGATTTATTATTTAAACACACACACACACCTATTTCTTTCTTTCATTTTTGGATCTGATGAAGCCTAGAAAGGTGAAATGTAATCAAATCTAATTTCAATGAAATGGTTTTACATTTATCATATTTCTCCAAAACTTTGTCAGGATTCTATATCCTATTTTATACACATAAAAAAAAGAAATCTTAAGAATATCAAATGGGTTAAGCAGACATGATCATCGTTCAAATGTGATTATTTTCTCTTATTACAGACGAGTGTGTTACACAGAGACCAAACTGACGAATGGAAAGGCTGGATGCAACTGATAATTTTGATTTATCATTTTACTGGTGCCAGTCAGGTAAGTGCATTTCTCATCTAGTACAAACAGGATTTCTTTTTTATTAATTGACCTCATATTCTATAGGTGCACTTTAAAAAAAAAAATCTTTCAAAAGCACTGGTTGCAATATGCATGAAAGTGTTTGTATATGGTGTAAAATTAAATGTCAAGGTTTAATAGTTGTATACATCTATCTATATGCATATCTGTCATTTAATTACATGACATTTTCTGTAAGATTGTCTTGCAGATGGTGTCATCCATAAGATCATCTTGCAGATAATGTTGTTCATTATTATTATTACTACTATTATTATTATCATCAATAAATAAAAAGTTCACAATACTTATCCACGACTGATTAAATGTTTTGTGATGTTATTGCTCTTCAGTGTCAGATAAGAACATTGTATTATTATATTAATAAAACATTGAAATAGACTTGTAAGAATATTCATGAGTGTAGAATCAATGTGATACTCACCTTCGGAGGAAGGTTCCAAACTAGCAACCAGTTGGCAGACAGGGGTAAACAAGCTGTAATTCAACACAGCTCTGTACTCAAGCAAACATAATGGTGAATGATCTATCACAATATACACACTAGAACCAACAGCCAACCAGGATTCAGGAAATGGGATTGCCTAAGTGGCAGAACAGAACATTCCAGCTTGCTATATATATATACCAGCTGTTCTAACCTCTGGGACTGGAGAGCTTACAATACAGCAAAGCACTAATCTGGTTATTCAATTATGAGAATGTGGGAATCTATAGAAATCAGCCAACATTCAAGATGCCAGATTGTCTACTAAGATTGCTATATTTGTATGTTTTTAAATCATTCCACTCCTCCCCAACTTGTATTTCATTTCATTGTATCTCTCATAAGAAGATTATGTTTTAAATAGAAAATGGCCAAAATAATTATCTATCATCAATGGCAATACAAACTGGTTAGAAAGTGTCTAAGACTAAAGTATAATGTGGTTTCAGGGTTGCCTACTGGAAATAGATGCAGGGATATGTATCCATGCCACTGCAAATACCCTGGTATTATGCAACCCTTGATCAGAGCAGCTACCAAAGTGCTAGGGCCCCTAATGATCAGTCAGATGCTGCAACCAGAAAAATTCTGACCTGGTACTCTCATAATGAAAAATTGCAGCCACTGATCAATGAGATCACCATAAAGTTAAGACAGTTAAATCATTGTGTCATGGAAGAAAGGAACCATATCCTAAACAGGAAAAAGGGATAAACCTGTACTTCTGTTCAATAAACATGGAAGGACTACTGGCCAGGTGATAGGCAAACTTATCTGCTAAAAAGATGACGACTCCTTTTTTTTTTTTTTAAATAGTTTCCACTTCCTTATGGATTTCAGCTGGTCGTTGTTAACAATAACTTCAACAATATTAAATACTGTGAAGATTTCTACATGCATAAGTGTGTTACCAAAAAATTCTAGTTTTTAAAATTTTCAAACTGTTAAAAAAAAATTCTCATTTTTCTTTTAGTCAGATTTTGAGAAGTGAATTGGGTTGGGAAATTTTCATCATCACCCTCATATATTCATGACATATTATAGGGATCTTTTGAAAACCTGACAATTCAACAGTACCCCTCATATGTGTGTGTGTGTGTGTAGATAAATCGCGATATCTGTAGTTTAATGATGAGAAAGCATTGATTTTTATATAACAAATATTTATCTTTCAACACAGTCTCTACCCTTGTTAACTCACTTAACCCAGTGCTTCTCCATTAATCAGATAGACTGAACATTATACAGTGAAAACTTCATATCCAAATTAAGCTAATATGATGGGGTGATGAAAAAGTCTTTAGTTTCATCTTTAGTTTCACCTTTAAAAAAAAAATTCTGATGTTTAGTCTTTGGGTCAGATTTTGACATTTTCAGCACCCCTGTGTTGTATTCTGTCCACTTTGATGTTTGTTTTTTTTTGTTTTTTTTAATGTGATTACAAAACTACACTTTTTTTTTTTTTTTTTTTTTTTTCCAGGTTTTACCTATCTACATGCATGTACGAGTTTTGGTGTCATCATACCTTTTTCTCTCAGGCTATGGCCATTTTACTTACTTCTGGCAGAAAGGAGAATATGGCCTCTTCAGATACTGTCAGGTAGGAGACTGTTGTATACCAGGTGTTATTTTCCATTTCCTTTGGCTTGAATCAAAGGACCTGAAGTATCAAGGGAGAGATAAACTGTTAACAGTCTTGGGTGGCTCCTCCAAACTTATTCTGGCTTTAGGGACAGGAATTTTTCTCATAGATACTTACATAAATGCTTTTCTGCCTTTTGATGTTGTTATATAGGATGTTTTGATTGAGCTTCTGGATACAAAAAAGTACCATTTCAGGGTTTCTAGCGGAAATGTATTATAAAAAAAATTAAAAGGTAGGTACCTCCACTGAATTTTTGGTACCTAAGGTTTAAAATGAATTTTTAAAATTGAAAAAGATTTCATTTTAGCTTTAATTGAAAGCTAAATGATTAAATTCACTATTTCCAGTAAGTAAAATACTCTGGTGTATTTCAAATAGAAATTATATTGATTGGAACCTCAATTTGTTTGCTCGCTTTCACAAAATCTGCCATTTTTGATACATTTTTAAGCAAAAGTTAATTCACAGTTTTAAAAATGTTCCAAAAATAAAATAGACTTTCCTGAAACCTCATTTGAGGAATATTAGCTGATTTAAAGTATAATTAATCTGATTTGAAAAAAAAAAATTATTTACTTTGTTTAAAATATCAGAGAAATGGATTTTTAAAACAAATGGTAGCTGTGACTACACACTTATCACTGTTGCTTGTCACTCGTAGATCACTTGACAAGTGATGATAAAATCTGTCAATACCTTTACTGTTGTTCACTGGAGACTTTATATGTTAAAGCATGATTTAACAAAATGATGGATGAGTGCCTTTTTAATATAATTTTTAAGTACTCAGTGATCTTAAAAATGTTGGAAAATATTCTCAATAATCTAATTTTAAGAATGTTGAATTTAACTTGACTATAGTCATCACTCTTATTTTCTGATTATATCATATATGGTCAACCATACTTCCAAACAGGGGCAAGTTATGTAATATTTTATATACATAAAAAAATTCAAATTTTTTTCAAGATATTGGGTGTAAACAACTTATATTGAGCTTTTCAATTTTTGATTCGTAATTATAGTTTTCACTTAATAATAATAATAATATCACCTAACTGGATTGAAGTATTGCAGAATTTTAAACGCTTTATAATATTATAAATTATTATAATTAAAATTAAAAAAATGGAAACAATTCTCATAAAAATTCATTATCAAAAAAAAAATTTTTTCTTAAGACAATAGTGTCCTTAATAAATCTTATTTATAAAAGCAATTAAAAATTTTTCTAATTAAATAATGTCATAGTTTTATTGCATTTTTTATTTTAAGATTCTGAGCAGATTTTCAGGAAAAAATTGGTAGTTTGAAAAAAAAAAAATTGATTTACATTCTCTAAGGAGTCCTGCTTTTAACTAATAAAACAAATTTTGGGATTGTAATTTAATTTCTCAAAATTTCATAAAATTAAGTGGGAGGATAACATTAAAAAAATATTTTAACCAAGATTTTCTTAAAAAAAAAAAATTCAAAAATAATTTCATCCATTCATGAATAAGTCCTGAAAGTTCCATTAAAATCTGACAATTACTTGATTTTTTGCAAGAATTATTTTTCACTGGAAAAAACGACAAAAACATTAATCATAAATATTACATCAACCACTGATGCAAAAAAAAAAAAGATTTTTAACCAAAATTTTGAACATGATAGAAAGGATTAAAAAATTTAATAAAATAATGAAAAAAACTTTGGTCTTTCTTTTTAATAACAAACATTTTGATGATAAAACTTTGTTTTTATTAAGTTTGGGGCCTTTTTTTCATCATGCTATGCTGTTTTTCAGCAAAAAAAGTGGAGGTACCTATTAAAAATTTGAAAATAGTCTTGACATCCTTGAAAATGTCACTGTATTATTGACAAATTCAGATTTGAATCCTTTATCCTTCTTGAATATATTTTGAACTACTTACAGTATAATAATTTTTCAAGATAACAAATCATTTCTCTCACAGTATCTTTATTCCAATATTTTTGTGCTTGTCTTTCCTTAAAACTTATACATAGAGTTCTCATGTTAATAATTAGTCTTTGCAACAAAATTTTGAAATTGAATTTATAAATAGTAAGAAATACAACCATTTGCATAAATTTCTGTTTTTTTTTTTTTTTTTTTTTTTCTGTGATGCCATCAAGTTCTTAAAGGTTTTCTGAAAATGGTGTGTCAGTGACTTGTCTGATGCAAACTGAATTTTGTCAGCAACCCAACTGACTATGCTGTTTAATCAGAGCTACAAAACCTGTTGTTTGGCTCTGAAAAAGACCTTGATTAAGCAAGTTTTAACCTTGAAAAATCTACTTATTGGCTAGAATAAACTTTAAATAAACTGTTATTTTATTTTATATTTTTGCTATGTATCCAGTATTTGTTATAAGGCACATTCTGTTATAAAATCTGCTGTAGATAAATTTACAAAAATAGACAAAATGACAATGCTTAACCTTCATGTCTGCAAAAAAAAAAGTTTCAAAAGGATGGTTTTTCTTTTGACACTAGTATTATTTTGAATTACTGAAACTCCCTCTACAATATTTATTTACATGATTATAAAAATATTTGAACTAAGTACAATGCAATATTTATTATTTGCCATTTTATAAAGATTTATTGTTTATCATTTTATAAAGAAAGAAATTTGAAAAATCTTTTTATTTAAGAATTATTAAAAACCTACCAAATTTTCAACTAATTGTGATCTTTGGAATGGTTGGCAAAACATCAGCAAATTGCCAATCAATTCAAACTTTATAAAATGCTAAATAATAAAGATTTCATTACAGTTGGTTTACATATTTTTGGCTTAGTAAATTTGTATAAATTTATACATAAAAAATCGTTTTCATAATTATTACTTTATAAATTTGTAAATGATGAACATTGCATTGTGTTAGGTGGCTTGCATTTTTAGAATGTTGTAAATATAAATTTATTCTTGTAAATAAACAATGTAATAAATAGTATTTAATATTTTTGTTATAAATTCTCAAAGAACAAAGAAAATGTATAAATTCACTTATGTTTGGGTTTTATTAAAGTTCTAATCATCACTTTTTAAAACTAACTTTGTTGAGGGAGTGAAGGTAGTATAAAATAATAACGATGTCAAGGAAAAAGAGTCCATTTGACACAATGTTTTATTGCAAGCACAAAGGTTGAACATTGCCAACAAAAATTCCTATTTACCATTCAATCATGGGGACTTCATAACTTGTTAGTTTTTATATCTAACTTTTCTTATTTTTCTATTAAGTTTGGATATAACAAGTTATTCTGGGAGTTTGATAATGAAATGCCTTCTTAAATGTATTGATTTTAAAAATCCTTTCTTAACAATTTTTAATGAGCAATTAAAATCCTTGTTCACCTATTAAAACCTCTACATTTTATTTATTTATATTTGATTCCCAATGTTTTTTTTTTTTTTAACATAAGCCAAAGATTTTAGGATGCTTGCTTGTCACCTTAATCACGCATGTTTTATCACTATTTTTCTCCATTTTTTTTTTTTTTTTTTTTTTTTTTTGATAATTTTGTTTGAATTGTGATTGTTAAAGACCCTTCATTGTTTTCTAAAAGTTAATTAATATCTAATTTAGAAATTCTAATCTAATACCAAATCAACAATTGATAGGATTTAAAGGCACAAACATTAAAGATTGCCAAAAGTTCATGATCAAATTTTTTTATTTTTAATTTATTAAAATATATTTTTTAATTTTTTTTTTTAAATTTAAATTTTTTTTTAAAATTTTAATTTTTTTTTAAATTTTAATTTTTTTTTTTTTTTTTTTAAATTTTAATGATTTTGTGTACATGTGTGTTCAATCAATCTCTATGAGCTGGTTTTATTCTGTTTTGGATGATTGATCTAATTTTGATTGATAAACTTTATATTTGAGGCCGATCAGATAGTTTAATATTACATTTATATTAATGGATTCTTCTTAGATTAAAATTGATTCTTCTTCGTGTTCAATATTTGAACTAAATTTGATAGATTTTGTGCGTGAACTTGTTCCTTCTTCTCTGATTATTTTTTTTTTATCTCCCCAGTCCCTCTTTTTGTGCATCAGTAAGAATTATTCCTTTTCAAGCATTTTCAGAAACAATGTCATTAGAACATTTTACAGGTAACAGAATATTTTGCCATAGTTTCTCCATGCAGATATGTAAATATATTTATACCTGTGTGTGTCTACACAGATGCATAGCTACATTTATAAACAAATGTGTATAAATATGTATCTTGAAATGGAAAAAATCTCTAAGCAAATCTATAAAAAACAACAATCTTGCATAGCTGTTCATTAAATCCTTCATTATTTTAACCTTTTTTACAGTGGCAAGTCCTAAATGTTCTAAAACGTCAAATTCCATGTTCTCCCATAATGGTAAATTTCAAGTTTCTGTTTCAAAATTATAAAAACACATGAAAAACACAAATTTGTGTGTAAACTGTAAAATATACACCTGTATAACCTACTTACCTGTCCTACAAAGTCATGCGACCTTCTATGTCACCATTAAATTTTAACATTTGGAGCTGCTTGGTGTGTTCCTCTGTCAGCATTCTTTTGTGTTGTTCTCCGAGACCCCACTTCATCTCTGACTTTTCACGGGTACTGGTCAGTTTTATAGATAATATTGTTCTTTGTCTCGTCTAAAAAAAAAAGTAAATTATCTTCATTCAGCTATTTCTCTTTGCCTGGCCACTTACCCTGTGTATTTGTGAATTCAACTTCACGATACTGATAACTATTATGATAAAATAAATGTTCCAAATCCATTTTTGCGACAGGTTCATCTGTTTTTCATTTAATGAGATCTCAACTGATTGATATCACTACAAAAGCCAAGATGTGTACATGGTGTTGCTTTGAATTTGCACTATATGTAATATAAAGAAAGTATCTTTAAATGGGTGTGGGTGGATGAGGTGTTAGGGGTTGTG